AACAATTACATTTTCTTTATTTTCTTAACGAGTAAACCTACACATTCTGAACAATTATAGTTTTAAGCAGTGTATTGGTAGTTAGTTAACATGCTACCGAACTGATCAACAATTATAGGTACAAGCTAATAACAAGGTATATATGCTATCTTATTGAACAAGCAACTTAATTCAAATAATGATGTGTGCGCTAGGCATCTCTCACCAGCTCTCTCCAGGTTGTTTTGCTGCTTGGCTGGCCTGCTGCTGCCTGTGCACGAGCTGAGCGCCTGCTGCTGACGTCACCAACAATGAACTTTTGCAGCCAGGCACGTGTGTTGTGACTGAGTGTGTGACAGAGAAAATCGTTTTTGTGTCATTTAGAGGGAAAATGTGTGCATTTTAGCGTTTCAGCCACCTTTCAAAAGTTGCTAAAAGTGCCAAATACATTTTTAAAAGTAGCTACATTTGTTGCTAGTTGCTGTTTGAAAAAAAAGTTGCCAGGATAGTCTGAAAAGTTGCTAAATCTAGCAACAAAATTGCTAAATTGGCATCACTGGGTCCCCTTACCAAAATACAAAGAGCCTACCTGTCATGTGCTTTTAGTGTCACCATAGCAACACACCACCTCCAATAAACTGAAAGAGCATCAGCACCACAAAAGGATGGTATTAGAATATATCTACATTGGTTAAAAAAAAGGTTAAAGGCTAATTGGCATCAGATATTTGAGAGAACAAAGGAAGGGAGGGCGAGAGGAAGGGAAAGGAGGGAGGGAGGGAGAGAGGGAGGGACAGTAATGGAGAGTGCTGACAGCCTGGGGGGCTTTCCATCTAATCGATGTGTTATTGGGCACATAGCAATACAGACTGACACTGCACCCTCATACCACATTCTGGGATGTTATAGTGAGTGTTGATGGATAGAGAGCGAATGTGTCGAGCTCTTCTTCACACCTTGGCACACTTGCTGACATGATGCCCATGGATGCACCAGGCGGTCTGATCAAGCAACGATCTGGCGTGGGAATCTTCCTCCAGGCAATGGAGGAAGGGAAGGTCCAGCTGGCCCACTTCATCCTAGCTGCACTGGGTGAGGCTGCGGTAAATGCCACCATAGAGGAGCGGCAGGGGCTGGTGACAGGCCGCACCCCACTGATGTGTGCCGCAAAACTCCCACGGACTGTAGATCGCACCCATTTCCTGAGGCTGCTCCTGGCTAGGGGGGCAGAGGTGGACCGGAGAGACAGCGAAGGTCGCACCGCCCTCAGCCTGGCCAGCGAATGCGGTCATTTGGATGCTGTCCGCCTCCTGGTCCAGCATGGGGCACACCCAGGCAGCTCAGACAGCCAGGGGAGGACGCCTCTCGCCTATGCCGCCCGCTGTCGCCACAGTGCCATGGTCAAGTTCCTAGTGAAGGATCTGAAGAGCAGGGGGGAGGAGGGGATGGGGGAGGAGGCTGTGGGGGAAGAGACATGGCTGCTGCGAGAGGAAGAGGAACATGATGGTCACTCACTGGAGGATCTCCATGGAGGGGTAGAGGGGGTCAAGAAGAGCCAAGAGAACCCCTCAGAGGATGGACCCTCAGCGGTTGGAGCACAGGGTGGGCAGAGAAAGTTTATGGAGACTTCAGATGTTGAAGGGTCAGGTAGTGGCTCTTTCCAGTCCAGACTGAGCGCTCCACCAAAGGATATGGGCTACTTTCTATGTGAGAACACCGTGGGTGACCTGCTCCTGGTTGACCATGTGATTTGCAACCCCTATGCCCTGGACGAGGAGCCTGGGGGTGGGTGTGTTAGTGGAATGAGCCGTGGCCACTGCTCCACTTGTTCAGCTATGTCCCCACTCCTCCTCCAGCCACTGACTGACCAAGTCATCCAGAACCCTCTGCTCTGCCAGTCTGGAGCCAGAGAGGAGTATGTCTGCCACTCCCAACCCTACCAATCACCACAGGGCTCAGGGGAAATGCCCAGGAGTAGGTTCATCTCTAGCTGGCTGAAAAGAGGACACTCCTATAGTATTGACCAGCCTCCCACAGAGGTCAACTCCACCAAACCCCCTGGTAGCTTCTGGAAATGGATGACACCCAGACGAGTGCTGCTGAGCACTGCTGAGCCTGGACCTCTCATCCGTCTGACTGACACCTCTCCAGAGCCACACTCAGAAAACTACAGTCCCCTACAAGATGAGTCTTCCTCCACCACCTCAGCATTGGAGTCCCACTACACATCTGCAGCCACCGTGCTCCAAAACTGGTCCTTTCTGGAGGAAGGCTATGTTGGGAGTAGGATGACAGATGGTTCTCTACAAACAGGGTATGGGAGACTTCACAGGGTCAAACGATGCAGCCTGCCTAATGAGATGTGTGGCGTGAGCAGAGATAGAGACAGCAGACCCCCTCAGCAGGTCAAGCTTCGCCCCTACTGTCACTCAGGATCTAGGTCTGGGTCCAGGTGTAACGTGTTCCGAGCACTCCGCCGCCACACATCCCCCGAGTTGAACTTCCAAAGGGAAGGGTCTGACACTGATCTGGAGGAGCTGGTTCCTGAGGACTACACTGAGACCGAGAGAGTCTCAGACTGAAGACTGGCTGACAACAATTCACTCTTAAGAGATTTTGGAATGCCAACATGATAATGTGAATTGTCCATGTGAATTGTTGAGTTGTTTTACTATAATGTCTATTTTTGTACTTTACAGAATGTTAGAAAGGCAGCTTTTAATTATGAAAACTATCAAGCAAACATTGATTGCTGAGAATGAGCAAATATACAACGTTAATTGTGTGCTCCGTTACATTGCAAACACTAATATTGTATTCAACATATTTTGTAGTCAAAATACAATATTAATGTCCAATTGCAACTGGATGTATTAGTATATATTTATTTTTGGAAGGTCACCAAGGACAGCAGATACAGCTGTTACAGAGGAATAGAAGACTGGCATGATATGATAGTCCACATACTTTTTTATTTATATAACAATGACCCCTAGTGGTGAAACAGTTATCTTCTCCATTATTTGTACTGTGTTGAAAGGGTATTGGTCGGAAATGTTGACTTAACACATTTTACACATTTCCGAAACTGTAATTAGAGATTCTTATTACTTATATATAAATAATCACTTACTGTGTTCTATTAGGGCACAACAAATGAAATTATGTGTATTATTATTTTTATGCTATTCTTCTATTAATTGATAATAACAAAATGATAGATAATAAAGACAATCTACTTTACTAATGACTTGAACTTAATGCATTTTTATTGGTCCAACGGTCTTGAACCCGGAGTGGATATTGTTATCAAGAGAATTCCCCAAAACCAAACTAAGAACATTGAGGAAATGACACCATTTCTTGTGGAAATTAAACTATAGCAGTTAGGGAGACCATTAGGGAAAATGTCCTATCTTGTTTCCAGTGGATGTAATGAGAGAACATTAGGACACAGTGCTTCCATGGCAGGCTCCCATGGCCTCGAAGAGCACCAGTGTAATTTTCAAATCAGTGATGTACAGTGTACTGTTTACTATCAAGTACAGCAGTGTGGTTAACACTTCTTTCCCTACACAGAAGGCAGAACTCCAATAGAGCTGATCCTGACAGCAGGAAGCTGAGGGGGCATGTCTGGTGGCAGCCTTGTAGGAGTCAGAGCCAGCTCAGATAGGTCCCTCAGTTCCCTTCTTATCGACACTTACCTTTCAGTCATCTTCTGTCAGGATTGTCCACCTTCATCCACCTTCCCAGTTCCCACCTTTCTTAGTCAAAAGTTTGGTAAAAAAGTTGTCAACTAATCACGTCACAGCTGTTGAAAAAGTGTGACCTCCTTGGGGCCTTTGTTCCATCGTGCAGAGTCATACATGGGTCTTGCCTCGGAGAGAGGAGATGAAGGCAAAGGCAGCCAGGGAGAAGGAATGGGTCCTGACAACTTTCAGTGCAATTTAATTATTGAATGAAGGGAGTGTTGCAGCTCTCTCCCGCTTTACCCATATCCCCCGAGACATAGGGAGAGAGTATAATGGGGTACAGAGTCTGTTCAATGGTAACAATAATTGTCCATCATAGCTACTGTCTTGATGTTTGATAGCCTACTATTAGCCGACTTCTATGTGTGTACTTCTCTTAGCAATATACCAACTGAGGTTTGAATAAACAAAGGAAGATACACACAATGACCAAAATTGACAAAAAATAAGTGGAAATTGGACATCAAAATGAGTTTACATAAACACCTGGGGGCCTTAAGAGGACAAACTGCAGTCTTTCATCACTATTGTGAACCATGAAGCATGTAGGATCATAGGAGACACTTACCTCATTAAAATACAAAGGCAGATGTAGTGTGCCCAATTCCTGTGCCTGTTCTCCATGGAACAGTAGCAAAGGATGCATCTGCTTGATTCTAAATTACTGTCGTTTGAGAATATCATATTACACACAGAGAATAGTGAAATTCAAACATACATTGTGAATGTTTATTATGTACTTAGAAACTAAATGTTGTCTATAATGAAAAAGTAAAAACGTCACATTGTTGTTATACCACTTATTTAAATAGTACATGGGGGGTACAGTGCAACATAATAGATAACAGATAGTTCACAGGGGTTCGTCACAAGTGACAACAGTTTCACTGAAGGTGAACTATTTGTCTATGCTCTTGGGTTACGTGCTAAACTGTCTTTACATTTCTATTGTAACAGAGATAATCTGAGTGGATGGGTTAATTGATTAAATATCCCTCTGCATCCGAAAAGCTACAGGCAATAACACGTTTTTAGGCTGTCAAACTCTATAATTTGATTCCTCGGTAGGTTACCCTGCATAGTTCAGCAGACTGCTGCAAAAATCCCAATATCCTTCTTCAAATAATGGCTTGCTGTCCCCTCTGTCGCGGTACACCACTGCTGCGTGTGCCTGTGTTCTCTCCAGGTGTCTGTCCTAAAGCGGATCTAAAAAGTCTCAACCATTGCTCGGGCTATCACCGCGGAGGATAGCCTACCGATCTAACGCAGTCACAACCTTGGCTGGCACGTTGTGTTGTTCGTTCCTGCCGGGATGGTGACATTGTCCGATGCCGGGCTATTGACAGGATCCGGACTCCAAAAGAACACATAGTAGATTGCCAGAATAAAGGCAGCTATTGACACGCATAGGAAATAAGCAATCGCCATCGCCACTTTCACCCAAATCTTTGTGGTTATGTTGGCATGTTTCACCCGCTGGTCGCCCGGATAGCTCTGCCTCCTGTTCATGTCCCCCCCGTCCCCGTTGTGATTCGCCGTGGTAACTTGTTTGTTGGCTTTCATCCTGCAATTGTTATATCCTTGTTCTGGCGTTGGATGTAGTCTGTTCCTTGTCAGTGTCCAAAGCCTCCAAATTCTCTCTTTCCCATTCAAGTCAGGTGGGCATTGTGGAAACCGCTGTCACTGCATTACTGCTCCTCGTGGGACGATGCTTTAATTAACCCTCTCTATGAACTGGACAGGGCGTCTGGAGTGCACCAGCTATGCAGAACAGTTTGACCATTTAATGGGATCAAATGCTATAAAAGCACATCGATTGGATTATAGTTTCAGTTATCAGTTTGCCTACGTCCCAGAAATATGATGGGTGCATTTGCCTAAGATTATCGCACAGACGTCTATCAAAATGTTGTCCATGAGGGTTGTAGATCTAAAAATCAAGTTAGATTTATTTACCAAAGGATGAACATAATCTGCAGGTGGGGGATTCATTTTCTTTTAATATTTCTGGTCTCGTGGATGGTTAAACAGCTTTAAAAGAATCACAAAAAAATATTCTCCCTGGAGCGTTCACGATCGAAACCATGAGAAATCTATAATTGAGACCACCATACATTTATTTGATATGAAAACTAAGAAGCAAAATACAAAACAAAATACATTTCATGTTGTACATTTGTCAGTTGCGCATGAACCAATGAGTTTCCTGCCAAATCATAATTTAATACTTAAAGAAAATGCTATCAAATGTAATCTCCTGCTTGATTGATTAAAGTGTCAATATCTTAGAATAAAAACGAATTTATGGTAATCAACGGATGAACAGAAAAAAATGTATTCGATTTCGGATCATGCTAGTTTAGATAGGCCGGTTACACTCCACTCCAAAAACAAACCCAAATAACGCAGTTTTATACTCAATCGAATAAATTATAGAAGTGCTGGTAAATTCGATGCTTATAATACAATCACTAAACCATCAGAAACTACGAGGATATACGAATGCAAATGACAAAAATAGATGCCTTTTTCTCCACACAAAACTTTGGAATGTTTAGTTGCTTTCAAAATACTATAGACTACATATTGCATTTCCTCGGGTTCTTGCCTTGATCCATTCATTTCATCTCACCTCTTCATTCCTTTTTGAGAAATAAAATGAAAGCATACTTTAATATCTGTGCTCCTGTTCATTATGGGTGAGCAAGAGTTTGACTTCATGACTAAGCCAACAAGACTTAAAAAGCTAACCAAAATCTTGGTCTGTTGAGGTAAATGTTCTGATGCCCCTTGATTAAAACTAGAAAGGCCACTAAAAATCTATCCAAATGAGAAATTAAAGCTTAGGATGGTCATCAAACATCGTTGTCAGGATCACGATGCCTGTACTTCAGTACAGTGTACCCCACTTAAAAATAAACTAACAACATTTAACTATACTCCTCTTGGGGTCCCAAATGTAAAGCAACTTTGTTACATGATTATCAGGAGACAGAATGTACATTTTTCAATGCCATGGCTTACATTTGTTCACATGATCAGTTTCATGACAAAATAACACTGAAAAGTCTTGCATTTTAAGGCCAAAGGGGGCCAATCCATATCCATGCACACTTCACAAAGAGGGTTTGCGTCACAAATGGCACCCTATTGCCTTTATAGTGCACTACTTTTGACCATGGCCCATAGGACTCAAAAGTTGTGCACTATATAGAGATAGTGACATTTGGGACACTAACAGTGTCCAATAACATTCAATCAATCAATCAATCAATCATTCAGCTTTTACAGGCTAATAGGGGAGGACAGTTTTGGGTGAGGGGGGTCTTGGGAATCTTTAAAGTAAGGGCTATTAAAACAAGTGTGGATAAGCTGTTGTCAATGAGCTGTCTACATTCAGGGAGGAGAATGCTCTTTCAACTGTTAGCATGCCAAATATGGCATTTTTAGCCATGTTGAAGGGGCATAAGTCTCTTTGACCTTCCGAAAGAGAGGTGGAGTTTAAAAAAATGCTAATGTTGAAAAATTGAGGTGAGAGAATGTAATATTTGTGAGTCTTCGCAAAATGTAATAGTTTGATTTGTTAATCACACACAAACCAATAACACAAAAGAAAAAGGTAAAAACAAGTCAGGGCTTTGTTCACTTGACATCACAGTTCCATCCTAATTGGCTGCTATAAAACCCAAGCCATTTACCATAGCGGCTCAGATGAACGGCAGTATCACTATTCTATGCAAGGTGCAGCTCCTAGTCAAACAGTACAGCACATACATGGTCTGATTGTTGAGGAGAGGGAGCGGTTTGGAGGCCAAGTGCCCGGCCACATCCCTCCAGGTTGTCTGTGATGGCTGCTCCAGTCATGGTGCGCAAGGCCCGGTTATCTTTCTTCTCCTCATTATTTTCTCCCATCATCTGTGAACCACTAGCACTGAAAAGTCAGTTTCCTAGAGCAGCTCTCAGCCTGTCGATAGAGAACAGAGGATGTGGGGGGGTCACTATGCTGCAAACTGGATGAATCTGTTGTCTGTCTACAACACTGCACCACATGCATGGGACAGCATGGCATGGTCTCAGTCTGGTATTAGCTCTCAGCACAAAAATAAGCACCAATGGTTGTCCAAAAATTTATATAAAGCTCATACAGTGAGGGAAAAAAGTATTTGATCCCCTGCTGATTTGTCAGTTTGCCCACTGACAAAGAAATGATCAGTCTATAATTTTAATGGTAGGTTTATTTGAACAGTGAGACAGAATAACAACAGAAAAATCCAGAAAAACGCATGTCAAAAATGTTATAAATTGATTTGCATTTTAATGAGGGAAATAAGTATTTGACCCCCCTCTCAATCAGAAAGATTTCTGGCTCCCAGGTGTCTTTTATACAGGTAACGAGCTGAGATTAGGAGCACACTCTTAAAGGGAGTGCTCCTAATCTCAGCTTGTTACCTGTATAAAAGACACCTGTTCACAGAAGCAATCAATCAAATCAGATTCCAAACTCTCCACCATGCCCAAGACCAAAGAGCTCTCCAAGGATGTCAGGGACAAGATTGTAGACCTACACAAGGTTGGAATGGGCTACAAGACCATCGCCAAGCATCTTGGTGAGAAGGAGACAACAGCTGGTGCGATTATTCGCAAATGGAAGAAACCCAAAATAACTGTCAATCGCCCTCGGCCTGGGGCTCCATGCAAGATCTCACCTTGTGGAGTTGCAATGATCATGAGAACGGTGAGGAATCAGCCCAGAACTACATGGGAGGATCTTGTCAATGATCTCAAGGCAGCTGGGACCATAGTCACCAAGAAAACAATTGGTAACACACTACGCCGTGAAGGACTGAAATCCTGCAGCGCCCGCAAGGTCCCCCTGCTCAAGAAAGCACATATACAGGCCCGTCTGAAGTTTGCCAATGAACATCTGAATGATTCAGAGGAGAACTGGGTGAAAGTGTTGTGGTCAGATGAGACCAAAATGGAGCTCTTTGGCATCAACTCAACTCGCCGTGTTTGGAGGAGGAGGAATGCTGCCTAGGACCCCAAGAACACCATCCCCACCGTCAAACATGGAGGTGGAAACATTATGCTTTGGGGGTGTTTTTCTGCTAAGGGGACAGGACAACTTCACCGCATCAAAGGGACGATGGGACGGGGCCATGTACCGTCAAATCTTGGGTGAGAACCTCCTTCCCTCAACCAGGGCATTGAAAATGGGTCGTGGATGGGTATTCCAGCATGACAATGACCCAAAACACACGGCCAAGGCAACAAAGGAGTGGCTCAAGAAGAAGCACATTAAGGTCCTGGAGTGGCCTAGCAAGTATCAAGACCTTAATCCCATAGAAAATCTGTGGAGCGAGCTGAAGGTTCGAGTTGCCAAACGTCAGGCTCGAAACCTTGATGACTTGGAGAAGATCTGCAAAGAGGAGTGGGACAAAATCCCTCCTGAGATGTGTGCAAACCTGGTGGCCAACTACAAGAAACGTCTGACCTCTGATTGCCAACAAGGGTTTTGCCACCAAGTACTAAGTCATGTTTTGCAGAGGGGTCAAATACTTATTTCCCTCATTAAAATGCAAATCAATTTATAACATTTTTGACATGTGTTTTTCTGGATTTTTTGTTGTTATTCTGTCTCTCACTGTTCAAATAAACCTACCATTAAAATTATAGACTGATCATGTCTTTGTCAGTGGGCAAACATACAAAATCAGCAGGGGATCAAATACGTTTTTCCCTCACTGTACATTATATTATAGTACTACGATATATGGAATATGCATAGATTAACGTAACCCAAGCTACTCACCATTGACAGTATGTGTCCATCAGCCAAACAGGCCTTTTCTGAAATGCTCATTTGATTGCATACTCAATGCGGGATTGGGTAACAGTCCTCTCATGGACCAATATTAGTCTCTCTAGCCTCAAAAACATCAAAGAACTCAGAGAGGCGGTTTTATTCAATCAGGCTCAGAGTTCAAAAGGGTTTCCATTACATCCACAACATAATTTGTCGGTCCGGCTGCGGCTAATTTCCTCATAAAAGCCGTTCAACGTTAATTGTGCCTCTTCTTCCTGCACTTCACTGATCTCCACCCTCACTAGACTAAATCGGATTTGGCGCAGTGAGCGTCTTCATTCAGCCAAAGCATAGACACCCAGGTTGAGTCCCAAATGGCACCCTATTCCCTTTATAGTGCACTAATTTTGACCAGAGCCCTACAAAAGTATTACACTATCAAGGGAATAGGATGCCATTTGGGATGCAATGCAGCCCCAGCCATTAGCTGTGGTGATTACCACCAGAGAAACACACTTACAAGGTTGTAAGGAGAAGCCTAATAATGATGACAAGGACCAGACAACAAGGAAACATTATCTACTCAGATGAGCCTTTTCCAGACTATGGGACTTTTCACTGCCAGGGCTTCAATAAGAAAAACAGTCATAACAGTGCAATAACCTACAAAAACCAAAACTAAGGGAAAAAAACATCAATCCCTGTTGAAGCTATCGGTCTACAACATAACACTCATAAGGGTTGGGGGGTGGATTCTACATTCTAGTGCTCACGACTAAACATCTACAAAAATCTAGTTATACAATCCCACCTTCATAATGGCTATTTTCTGGGGCATTTAAGCTGCCTTGTCAAAGTGCAGTGCATTGTAGCTCCACAGAGAAATGCTCAATTCATTTGTTCTGTGTATCACTAAATATACCATCTGGGCTGTTACAGACAATCTATGATGTATTAAAGAGTATAAAAAGCTTGAGTCATATATAAATGACCACTTCTAAGAAGGCATGTCATTGCTAATTCTTAGCACTCTGCCCTCAGAGACAAAGGGAATGCACATTATCCTACACATCGTTATAAAATGATTTATAGAGTGCATTTTATACTGTGCTAATGGGCCACATTTTATAATGTAACTATTAAGTAAAAAATTAATAAACATAAGCTCATGAGAAAGCAATAAATGCTTTCTGAAACCATTAAAGCTAGAATCCTTAATTGAAACAATAAAGTGGTCACCCTGTTTCTGTTTTGGTAAAAAGCTGAGGGATGGGAGAAATGTAACCACTCAAATTAATAGACAGAGCTATGGATGCAAAGACTGACCAACCATGGTATCAAGATGATAGTTTTAACCATGTTTTGAGGCTATAGTGTTTGTTTACATTGTTTACAAACATTGAAGTAAAACAAGCTTATATTTTGGGTTCTTTCAGAGTACGACAGTTGAACTAAGCTCATGAGGCATTTATATAGTAATATAATATGCCATTTAGCAGACGCTTTTATCCAAAGCGACTTACAGTCATGCGTGCATACATTTGTGTGTATGGGTGGTCCCGGGGATCGAACCCACTACCCTGGCATTACAAGCGCCGTGCTCTACCAGCTGAGCTACAGAGGACCACATTTCTGAGTTATATTCTTCAAGAATCAAGTGGGAATACATCATTAAAATGGATGTACCAACAAAGTATTCTAGCTGTAAGTGAGAAACCCAGGAATCGTTTGTCATTGAAGGGCTTTACAGAGGTGCTTTTCAACCTTCCTAGGGATGTCAAAGTGAAGACTATGGGAAAGGCTAAATTATGCATTTAGATGACATTGAGACAAAATACATAGTATAAAAAACATTTTAACACACATTTGTTTGTTTGGTGGTTTCAATTGAGTAATGGACTGTTTAAACATGTTCCGTTATCATCCAATGAGTGTCTGGTTCTGGTTAGCATCATTTGCATCATTCCATTTCAGGCCTAGTGATAAGTCTTGGCCAAACAGACATCAATTTAAGAAGCAGACAGCATGACGAGGAGAAATGAATGGAAGAGCTAATTTGATTCTCATCCTTCTCAAGCCACTCTTCATCCATATGTCAGTCATGCGATTAACAAACCCATGAAAAACAGAAAATATGTGATTTTGCTAATTTGAGGTTGGGGACAGGGTTGGCAGCATGCATAGTAAATGCATTAACCCACAAAACAAGGAAATGAGAAGGCAAACCCAAAGGAAAGTGTTCAAGGGGTAAAACGGCAGGAGTTCACACAGTGAGGTGTGGTAGCCATCGTGAAGGGGGCGGAGGTTAGTACATTCAGTTCCCCAGGAGGAAACGGCAAGGCAGAGGAGTTTCACAGAGGATTTGGAGGAAAGAGAGGGCTCCCATTGGCCAGAGAATGCAGAGTGATGCAGTGAGCGACAGACAAGCCTTGCCCATGCCCAGTAGACGTTTTTTGTGGGGTCATGCCAGCCAGCCAACTTCAGACATTAGACAGATGGAGAGGACACACAGGAGAGCGGTAAGTGGCGAATGAAGAAAAATCAATAAAAGGAGGGAAAGAGAGGGAAGGAGGGAGGTTGGTTTGTGTTTTGTGGTTAGTGCTCGGCTCGAGTCAGAGACCTCTTACAGAAAGCCACAGTCTCAAAGTCATTGATGTGAACCGCACCTGAAGATGGCTGCTCTGAGGTGTCTTGGGCCGTCTCTGGGGCAGTGGCCGGCTCAGACAGGCTCTGGTCAGCCTCCAGGAGAAGAGCAGGGGCGGCGGCAGGGTCCTCCTCGTCATCTGGGTCAGATGGTTCAGAGAAGGAAGAACGAGTCAGACCTCATTAGATTTTTACCACAGCCTGCAGGTGGTCATAAAAATAAAACATCAGATGACCATAAGCAACAATAATGCTTTGCCTGCATTTTTATTCTGTGTGTAATTCAGCCCTATGGAATCTTCTAGTCTTCACTTTAGCATGAAAGGCACAGTGCAGTCAAAAACGTGAAATGTGTTTTATATATATTTCCACACTATGAGGTCAGAATAATCCTGTGAAATTGTGAAAATGATGATAATGTCCTTTTCGTGTAAGAGCTGTTTGAAAAGACTGCCTGAAATGTCAGCCTGTTTTGGTGGGAAGAAGTTTTTGCATTCCTGATGACATCACCAGAAAGGCAAATTAGCTAGAAAGATGTGTCGGCATCGAGTAATTGTCTCTGGCACCCTCCCAGTTAGGGCAAGTGATGAGCTCTACAGCAGAGTCTCACAACTCAATCGCTGGTTGAAAACTGTTTTTTTTGCCCCTCCCAAAATATAGAATTTGTAGATAATTGGCCCTCTTTCTGGGACTCGCCCACAAACAGGACCAAGCCTGGCCTGCTGAGGAGTGACGGACTCCATCCTAGCTGGAGGGGTGCTCTCATCTTATCTACCAACATAGAAGGGCTCCACTCCTCTAGCTCCTCAATGAGATAGGGTGCAGGCCAGGCAGCAGGCTTTTAGCCAGCCTGCCAGCTTAGTGGAGTCTGCCACTAGCAGTCAGTGTAGTCAGCTCAGCTATCCCCATTGAGACCGTGTCTGTGCCTCGATCTAGGTTGAGCAAAACTAAACATGGCGGTGTTTGCCTTAGCAATCTCACTGGAATAAAATACCTCCTCCATTCCTGTCATTACTGAAAGAGATTGTGATATCTCACATCTCAAAATAGGGCTACTTAATGTTAGATCCCTCACTTCCAAGGCAGTTATGGTCAATGAACTAATCACTGATCATAATCTTGATGTGATTGGCCTGACAAACATGGCTTAAGCCTGATTAATTTACTGTGTTCAAATGAGGCCTCTCCTCCTGGTTACACTAGTGACCATATCCCCCGCGCATCCCGCAAATGCGGAGGTGTTGCTAACATTTAAGATAGCAAATGTAAATTTACCCCACTCAAAAATGACTGTTTTCGTCTTTTGAGCTTCTAGTCATGAAATCTATGCTGCCTACTCAATCACTTTTTATAGCTACTGTTACAGGCCTCCTGGGCCGTATACGGAGTTCCTCACTGAGTTACCTGAATTTCTATCGGACCATGGCAGATATTATTCACATTTTTGGTGACTTTAATATTCACATGGAAAAGTGCACAGACCCACTCCAAAAGGCTTTCGGAGCCATCATCGACTCAGTGGGTTTTGTCTCCGGACCTACTCATTGCCACAGTCATAGCCTGGATCTAGTTTTGTCCCATGGAATAAATATTGTGGATCTAAATGTTTTTCCTCATAACCCTGGACTATCGGACCACAATCTTATTACGTTTGCAATCGCAACAAATAATCTGCTCAGACCCCAACCAAGGACCATCAAAAGCCGTGCTATAAATTCTCAGACAACCCAAAGATTCCTAGAGGCCCTTCCAGACTCCCTCCACCTACTCAAGGACGTCAGAGTACAGAAATCAGTTAACGACCTAACTGAGAATCTAAATGTAACCTTGCGTAATACCCTAGATGCAGTCGCATCCCTAAAAACAAAAAACATTTGTCACAAGAAACTAGCTCCCTGGTATACAGAAAATACCTGAGCCCTGAAGCAAGCCTCCAGAAAATTGGAACGAAAAATCAGTCATGGCCTCTAAACCTTCATGATGCATACTGGACCCTATTCCAACTAAACTACTGAAAGAGCTACTTTCTGTGCTTGGCCATCCTATGTTGAACATAATAAATGGCTCCCTATCCACTGGATGTGTACCAAACTCACTAAAAGCGGCAGAAATAAAGCCACTCTTGAAAAAGCCAAACCTTGACCCAGAAAATGTAAAAAACTATCGGCCTATATCGAATCTCCCATTCCTCTCAACATTTTTGAAAAAGCTGTTGTGCAGCAACTCACTGCATTCCTGAAGACAAAAAATGTATTCGAAACGCTTCAGTCTGGTTTTAGACCCCATCATAGCACTGAGACCGCACTCGTGAAGATGGAAAATGAACTTTTGAAGGCATCAGACCAAGGCTCTGCATCTGTCCTCGTGCTCCTATACCTTAGTGCTACTTTTGACACCATCGATCACCACATTCTTTTGGAGAGATTGGAAACCTTAATAGGTCTACACGGACAAGTTCTTGCCTGGTTTAGATCTTATCTGTTCGAAAGATATCTTTTATTTTTATTTTTTATTTCACCTTTATTTAACCAGGTAAGCCAGTTGAGAACAGGTTCTCATTTACAACTGCGACCTGGCCAAGATAAAGCAAAGTAGTGCAATAAAAACAACACAGAGTTACATATGGGGTAAAAAAAAAAAAAACATAAAGTCAGAAATACAACAGAAAATATATATACAGTGTGTGCAAATGTAGCAAGTTATGGAGGTAAGGCAATAAATAGGCTATAGTGCAGAATAATTACAATAGTATTAACACTGGAATGCTAGATGTGCAAGAGATTATGTGCAAATAGAGATACTGGGGTGCAAAAGAGCAAAATAAATAACAATATAGGGATGAGGTAGTTGGGTGGGCTAATTTCAGATGGGCTGTGTACAGGTGCAGTGATCGGTAAGGTGCTCTGACAACTGATGCTTAAAGTTATTGAGGGAGATAAGAGTCTCCAGCTTCAGAGATTTTTGCAATTCGTTCCAGTCATTGGCAGCAGAGAACTGGAAGGAATGGCGGCCAAAGGAGGTGTTGGCTTTGGGAATGACCAGTGAGATATACCTGCTGGAGCGCAGACTACGGGTGGGTGCTGCTATGGTGACCAATGAGCTAAGATAAGGCGGGGATTTGCCTAGCAGTGATTTATAGATGGCCTGGAGCCAGTGGGTTTGACGACGAACATGTAGTGAGGACCAGCCAACAAGAGCGTACAGGTCACAGTAGTGGGTAGTGTATGGGGCTTTGGAGACAAAACGGATGGCACTGTGATAGACTACATCCAATTTGCTGAGTAGAGTGTTGGAGGCTATTTTGTAAATGACATCGCCGAAGTCAAGGATCGGTAGGATAGTCAGTTTTACGAGGGCATGTTTGGCAGCATGAGTGAAGGAGGCTTTGTTGCGAAATAGGAAGCCGATTCTAGATTTAACTTTGGATTGGAGATTCTTTATGTGAGTCTGGAAGTTGAGTTTACAGTCTAACCAGACACCTAGATATTTGTAGTTGTCCACATACTCTAGGTCAGACCCGTCGAGAGTGGTGATTCTAGTCGGGTGGGCGGGTGCTAGCAGCGTTCGATTGAAAAGCATGCATTTAGTTTTACTAGTGTTTAAGAGCAGTTGAAGGCTACTGAAGGATTGTTGTATGGCATTGAAGCTCGTTTGGAGGTTTGTTAACACAGTGTCCAATGAAGGGCCAGATGTATACAAAATGGTGTCGTCTGCGTAGAGGTGGATCTGAGAGTCACCAGCAGCAAGAGCGACATCATTGATATACACGGAGAAAAGTGTCGGCCCAAGAATTGAACCCTGTGGCACCCCCATAGAGACTGCCATAGGTCAAGACAACAGGCCCTCCGATTTGACACACTGAACTCTATCTGAGAAGTAGTTGGTGAACCAGGCGAGGCAGTCATTTGAGAAACCAAGGCTATTTAGTCTGCCAATAAGAATGCGGTGGTTGACAGAGTCGAAAGCCTTGGCCAGGTCGATGAAGACGGCTGCACAGTACTGTCTATTATCAATCGCGGTTATAATATCGTTTAGGACCTTGAGCGTGGCTGAAGTGCACCCGTGACCAGCTCGGAAACCGGATTGCATATCAGTTCGTCTCTGTGGATGGTTTGTCCTCTGGCAAATCAATTGTAAGTTCCGGTGTTCCTCAAGGTTCGGTTTTAGGACCACTATTGTTTTCACTATATATTTTACCTCTTGGTGATGTCATTCGGAAACACAATGTTAACTTTCATTGCTATGCGGACGACACACAGCTCTACATTTTGATGAAACATGGTGAAGCCCCAAAATTGCCTACCCTGGAAGCCTGTGTTTCAGACATAAGGAAGTGGATGGCGGCACATTTTTTACTTTTAAACTCGAACAAAACAGAGATGCTAGTTCTAGGTCCCAAGAAACAAAGAGATCTTCTGTTGGATCTGACAATTAATCTTGATGGTTGTACAGTCGTCTCAAAAAAAAACTGAAGGACCTCAGCATTACTCTGGACCCTGATCTCTCTTTTGACTAACATATCAAGAATATTTGATGGACAGCTTTTTCCCCATCTTTGTAACATTGCAAAAATCAGAAACTTTTGGTCTAAAAATTATGCAGAAAAACTAATCCATGCTTTTGTCACTTCTAGATTAGACTACTGCAATGCTCTACTCTCCGGCTACCCGGATAAATCACTAAGTAAACTTCAGTTAGTGCTAAACACGGCTGCTAAAATCTTGACTAGAACCAACAAATTTGATCATATTACTCCATTGCTAGCCTCTCTACACTGGCTTCCTGTTAAGGCTAGGGCTGATTTCAAGGTTTTATTGCTAACCTACAAAGCATTACATGGGCTTGCTCCTACCTATCTCTCCGATTTGGTCCTGCCGTACATACCTACACGTACGCTACGGTCACAAGACACAGGCCTCCTTATTGTCCCTAGAATTAAGCAACTAAACAAACAACTGGAGGCAGGGCTTTCTCCGATAGAGCTACATTTTTATGGAATGGTCTGCCTATCCATGTGAGAGACGCAGACTCTGTCTCGACCTCTAAGTCTTTACTGAAGACTCATCTCTTCAGTAGGTCCTATGATTGAGTGTAGTCTGGCCCAGGGGTGCGAAGGTGAACGGAAAGGCACTTGCTGTCTCTGCCTGGCCAATTCCTGTCTCTCCATTGGGATTCTCTGCCTCTGACCCTATTACGGGGGCTGAGTCACTGGCTTACTGGTGCTTTCCATGCTGTCCCTAGGAGGGGTGCAACACTTGAGTGGGTTGAGTCACTGACGTGATCTTCCTGTCCGGTTTGTCGCTCCCTCTGCCTCATGCAGTGGATGAGATCTTCGTGGGCTATACTCAGCCTTGTCTCAGGGTAGTAGGTTGGTGGTCTGTTGATATACCTCTGGTGGTGTGGGGGTTGTGCTTTGGCAAAGTGGGTGGGGTTATATCCTGCCTGGTTGGCCCTGTCCGGGGGTATCGTCGGACGAGGCCACAGTGTCTCCCGATCCCCCCTGTCTCAGCCTCCAGTATCTATGCTTCAGTCTATGTGCGGGGGGGCTAGGGTCAGTCTGTTATATCTGGTGTTATTCTCCTGTCTTATCCAGTGTCCTGTGTGAATTTAAGTATGCTCCCTCTAATTCTCTCTCTCTCCCTCTCTCCCATCCCGGAGGACCTGAGCCCTAGGACCATGCCTCAGGACTACCTGGCCTGATGACACCTTGCTGTTCCCAGTCCACCTGGTCGTGCTGCTGCTCCAGTTTCCACTCTTCTGCCTGCGGCTATGGAACCCTGACCTGTTCACCGGACGTGCTACCTTGTCCCAGACCTGCTTTTTTCAACTCGCTCTCTCTACCGCACCTGCTATTTCAACCTCTAAATGCCCGTCTATGAAAAGCCAAGTGACATTTACTCCTGATGTACTGACCTGTTGCAACCTCTACAACCACTGTGATTATTATTTGACCCTGCTGGTCATCTATGAACGTTTGAACATCTTGGGAGAAAAATCTGGCCTTAATGGCCATGTACTGTTATATTCTCCACCCGGCACAGCCAGAAGAGGACTGGCCACCCCTCAGAGCCTGGTTCCTCTCTAGGTTTCTTCCTAGGTTTCTGCCTTTCTAGGGAGTTTAACCTAGCCACCGTGCCTCTACATCTGCATTGCTTGCTGTTTGGGGTTTTAGGCTGGGTTTCTGTATAAGCACTTTGTGACATCTGCTGATGTAAAAAGGGCTTTACAAATACATTTGATTGATTGATTGAACACCAGGCGGTAAATTAGTTAATAAACCAATAAGAAAGTTCCAAACCTTTCTACTAATAACAGCTCGTTTTTGGTTTCCCCCTCCCCACTCTGACCACTCCCAGACAGTCCTAGCTAAATTCTTGATTGAGAAATTGCTCTTTGCTAAGAAGCTATTTTTATTTCTTTTTGACCACAGTAAGGTACTTACTTGTTACCCAGAAATGATTTGAAATATTAAGATAAAAAACAGCTGCTTTGCAGTGGGATAGTTACCCTCTGTGGGGGTAGCAGGTGTCTCCTGGGCTGGTGGAGTGGTGGTGGTCTCCTCTTTCTCTGGGGGGTCAGTGGGGGTAGAGACAGGCTCTAATGATGATGATGATGATGATACAGAAGTTTCTTCCTGGATCAGGGTCTCCTCTGGTGGAGGAGCAGTGACCACAACTGAGAGTTATAGAGAGAACGATAGAGGGGGGGGGGGGGAGATATGCGTGTGAATGAAGAAAACCTATGATCAACTTTGCTGGTTTATCCTGAATTAAAATGGTAGCACATTCAACAGTATGCCAAATGTATGGTATGATCTTGCAATATAATACAACCGTCAAACCAGTATATAAATATCTGTACCTGTCCGTGTGTCCCTCTCCTTCTCTGGCTCTGCTGGCTTGCTGGGACTGGGGGTTGGGCTGGGGCTGGAGTTCACCTTAACCTGGGCAGGCCTCTCCTCAGCGCTGGGGGGTTTCGGGGGGCTTTCCCCCATACTGCTCCGGGGGGACTGCATCTCCATCTCCTCCCCCCAGTCTCTGACCGGCTGGTGGCCGTCTAAGGGCGAGAAGGGGCTGAGGGGCTTGAGGCCATCGGGGGAGTCCTGAGCCTCCTGTGGGGAGGGGATGTAGACTTTGGACCTCAGGGTGCACTGCTCTTTGGGACTGGCTGCGGACGGGGGAGTGGAGGGAGGGGGTGAGGTGGCGGCGGACTTCCCTGCTGTGGTTTCTGGGCGCGGTGCCTTCTTCGGGGACTGTCCGTCTTTCCCTTTCTCCTCCCCCTCTGAGTCGTCATCCCCGTCCGTATCCTCATCCTCCCACTCATCCTCATCCTCCTCTGCATCACCACTCTTATCCATCTAAGAAGGAAAGAAGCAGGCAAGTCACCTCTTAATGTGGATCATGGAATGAGATCATGTTCAAAAACAACACTGGCATACATGGCCCTGTATGGCTCAGTTGGTAGAGCATGGTGCTTGCACCGCCAAGGTGGTGGGTTCGTTTGCCGGGGCCAACCATACATAAAATGTATGCAAGCATGACTGTAAGTCGCTTTGGATAAAAGCGTCTGCTAAATGACATATTATATACAGTATTATATATTATGTGCTGAAACACAGATCCCCGTGTATGGTGGTGGAAGACGACATACCTTTTGTGATGAGGGAGCTTTGGGCTTCCGTTCCTCCTTCTGACTCTTCTCCTCCTTCTTGGGTTTGTCTTCCTTCTCTTTCTCCTCCTCCTCCGCCTCCCAGCGGTTATCGTGCATGCTGTCAAAGACAACCGGTCATTGGAATGGTGAGGAATGAAAACAACAGATCTAGTCAAAGAGGAGGGGCTGTACCTGTACCTGTAGCTCTGTCTCTGTCCTCGTCCCCTCCCCCGCTCTCCACGGACCCCCGCCCTGGGTCCTCTACCCTGCCCCAGGAAGTCTCCGAACGTGGGCGCCTTGGGAGGTCCCTTCACATTGTCTGTGGAAGTGAAGGATGAGGAGTTCAGATTAGAGGGGTTGGGGTGGAAGAACAGGATTCGAGACCTTGAAAACGAATGAATGACAGCCCCAGTACTGACACAGCAGCGCTGCTCTGAAATGGCATCATATTCCCTTTATAGTGAATTACTTTTGACCAGGACACACACTTGAGACACACGGAACACACACAAACTCAGTCCCATGCCATTGGCTAACCTGAGGCCCCGCCGTGGTCTGGCAGCATGCCCTCTGCAGCCACAGCTGGGTCCTCCTTGAACCTGTGAAAGCACCGCAGGGTCAGACCTCCTCACCTTCACACCCTGTCACACTGCATTACCATTGGACATGTCAATCCCTCCCTGCCACCACCCCCACACCCCACACAAGAAACAAAGACATGGCTAAAGGACAATCAGACTTGTGAACATAATCCCTAGCTGTGTATTGGCGCTTTCCATGTTATCTGTCTGTAGCTTGTGAGGTGTGGAAACACTGTTTGTTGCTTTTATGTATTTTGTTTTGTTGCTTTTTGGCCTATTGCTCAGTCTGTCTGCTACGTGTTGCTTGTCCTATGTTGCTCAGACTGCGTACTACGTGTTGCTTGTCCTATGTTGCTCTGCATGTGCTCACTGCTCATTGTTTATCTGTATTGTTATTGGAATTGTTTTTAATAACCTGCCCAGGGACTGCAGTTGAAAATTAGCCGGCTGGCTAAAACCGGGACTTTTACTGAAACGTTGATTAAAATGTGCACTGTCCCTGTAAAAATCAAAATAAACTAAAATGCAAACCCTGCCCACAGCCATTTCATATTTTGGAGCGGTGTTGTCATCTTGGGGATTCGGTATGCACTGCCTGGTTTGGTTCACTGAATGCCTGCTGTTGTGGTGTTTTTGTGAATAAAGCCCTGGCTGTCTCCAAGGGTATTTGTGAGCGAGGTGTGATCAGAGTGTGTCAGTGGTGTTAGCAGTCCTCCTCCAGTCAGTCACTCACAAGCCGTCAGTCTTCTGGGCGTCCCATTCCCGTCTCCACTGGCCTGTGGCGTTCCTGTGCCTGGCCAGACGCAACTCATCAATCTCCTCACGCTCCTTCTTCCAGCGGAGGTACTCTGCACGCTCCAGGCCAGTCATAGACATGGTCATATCCATGGAGCCCTTAGGGACTCCTGATCTCCGACTCTGTTGGAGAGAGAGGGGGGAGGGAAAGGGAATGTAAAGTAGCAGGATTGATAGCAGGATGTAAGAGAGAAGGGAATTAATAACACGATGCAGAGGAGAGAAAGGAAAGACATTTTCAATAAGGAATCGTTTCAACAAAAAGAAGACAAACCACACAGAACATTTGACCCATCACGTCTTCTACAAAACAGAGCACTCACTGTCCACTCCTTCTCCATGTCAGATCCAGTCTTCACGTTGTCAAAGTCTACTCCGCCCCAGTTTCGGACGTGTCGGCGGCTGCCCTCCTTGCGGTCCATGTCCTGGACTGGGCCGGAGCGCCGCGGGTCATCCAAGAAGTTACGGATGGGCTTGTCTCCCTCGGCAGGCTGCAGAGGGATTCCAAAGACAGCATCCTTACACTCCATCTATTTCAGGTCTTCAATGCTAAACTGTCATCAAATAATCCGATTGTAATCAGATTTTCACAAAATGGCTTCCTGTACATACCCTTTGTCCTCTTTCATACTCTGCAATCATCTCCATCTCCTCATTCATCTTCTCAATGTTCTGCCTCCTTTTCTCCTCCCACTCCTACAGAGAGGCACAACATTTTAGAAAGAAGAGACTACAGTGTGCCATTCCAATTCGCTTCATTTCACACCAATACGTTGTAGCTAAATCTAGTCTTTTTCTCCAATTACTATAGTATGTACTCATTTTCCCATTACTCAGGTCACTGCAAAGTAACCAACATCATCATCACTAAGCTATACCGTACAACCATTATTACGGAGACTATACCACTGGTAAACCTCAGTGAGGCTATTAAAACTATACAACCTGGCACATCTACAGCAACATTGCCTCGCTAGTTATTAGCTGATATGGTTTTGCTCACAGACCTTTGACTTCCTGTCACCACCCTGTGGTCCTCCTCCTTCTTCCCTTCCTCTCCTTCCTCCGCGTGGGGCACGTTCACTGCGGCCGGGGCCTTCTCCTGGCCCCTCCATGCCTGGACCCCTCTCCTCTCTTGGACGCCTGTCCTCTCTCGGTGGTCTCTCCTCTCGTGGTGGTCTGTCCTCTCGTGGTGGTCTGTCCTCTCGTGGTGGTCTCTCCTCTCGTGGTGGTCTGTCATGGGCCTGGTGTGGGTCTGCTAGGTGTCTGTCAGGGCGTTGCTCTCTCCTATCCTGCCGTGGTCCTCCCCCTCTCTGTCCACCCCTGCTGAGCCGCCTGGACCCAGCCCTCCGTGGGGGGCTTTCACCTTGGGGTCTGGGGCTGTCTCCCTCCTCAGAGTCCCGCGGTGGCCCATGTTTCCAGTCATTGATCACCCTTTTCTCCTGCAGGGAGAACAAACTTTTTGATTAGGTCCGCTTTGAACCACTGAAAGACCGGAAAAACACTGGCATACATACGTACATTTAGGGCAATACCACAACACCCTCAACAAGTCCCTTCTTGTCTGAATGAGTGACCTTTACTGTGTGAAGAGTGGAGTGGATCACAGATGTAGGGGCCATCTGGGACCTGACAAGAGCTCAACAGGCTTTGATTAAAATGCACTCCAGCCTGTCTCTCCACGGGAGGCAGATTAAAAAACATGCTGTCTGAAAGGAGGTGGCACGTACTGTAATCACCTTCAAGAGCAGCAATGGCTTGAGAGCATCCCCTTCAGGTAGAAATACAGGGCACTACCCAAATGGCACCCTATTCCCCCAAAGGCTCCGGTCAACAGTAGTGCATTATGTAGGGAATAGGGTGCCATTTGGGACACAACCATAGCCAGGGATTTGCATTCACCTCCATCTACGTAGAATGTAATTATATAACTTTTACCCATCTGAATATAGATATATAATCATCAAGCTGAAGCAGGGGTATAAAGTTGGAACCAGACACACGATTTCCATGAGTGGTTTCCTAACATGGGCAGACACATGACGCATGTACAAAACATCTCTGTTCATGGTGTACGTCATCACTTTCCTGTTCTGTGTCAGGTGTAACTCAGCTAGAATAATTTCACCCAGCTGCTGTGAGATATATGGCCCTCTCAGGTCCACATCCTCCATTAGGCATCCCTAATCTCATCCAGCTGCCAGAGCAGGGGAATATGAATGATGACTATGAAATAGATGGGCGCCTGCAAAAGTCTATGAGACTTGTTCTGGTAGAGGCCATCTTTCAGAGCTCAGGAGGTTATCTCGAGGCCAAGTGTTTGAGAGTGCACATTGTCATGTTTTTGGTCTTCTTAAATCATGTTTGTTCAGTTGGCACAAACTGAATAAATTGTTTTCAATTGGAAAATGTGTGTTCTTATTGGACAAGTTCAGGTAGTAACTAGTCCATATCTCATTTTTGTGCCTAATGAACATGACTGATTTGGTCATTAGTTAGCTTGGTCTGATATAGCCTGGTACTACAGTATGTGCTGATACAGAGCCCTCATCCTGGTCTCACCCCTGCAGGTTTGGAGAGGTCTACGGTGACAGTGAAGTTCTCTTTCTCTGTCCTCCATCGGTCTCCCTCTGGCGGGCCATCGTGAGGGCGACCCTTCCTGGGTGGGTGCGTCTTCACGGCAATCCCCTCCTGCTCCGCCTTCTTTTTGTCCTCTTCTATTTCCTGTAGAAAGATAACAAAACAAAGGTTGGCTGATGATAGGCTGACAAAGGCTCATCAGTGTCTCACCCTAACCTGATAAATCATGCATAAATTCTGGGAGATTCAATAGAAAAGTGACCGATGACCATCATTTGAATATTCGGACAGTCAGAAAGCTATTTTGCGACGTGGCTATGCAATTTAGCTGTGTGATATAAGCTTAGAATATAATACAATAGGGTATACTATTTAGCAGACACTTTTATCCTAAGCAACTTATAGTGCATGCATACATTTTCGTATGGGTGGCCCCAATAGGAATTGAACCCACGATCCTGACATTGTAAGTGCCATGCTCTACCAACTGAGCCACACAGATGCTACTGCTACAACAGAACTATAAATCTGATCCTGTGGGAGCTCACCTGGTACCTCCGGACCAGAGCTTCATTCTTCTTGCGCAGCGCCTCGATCCGTCTGTCAAGCTCTGCATCCTTCTCCTCCTTTGTCTTGAGATCCCCCACTGTAGACTGAGAAATTGAAGGTGTACATGCATTTAGAATAAGATTCTACAACAGGTTGGTCAAAACATGTGACCAAAACTTGTCATTGGTGCTGATCTACGGGACTTGGCTCCGCCTCGTACCTATGACTACAGCACAGCAGTGCTAAAAAAGTCATTTGCTTTAGTATTGCATGTCATAGTTAATCAACTGTGATACTAGTATCAGCACATTTGAGTCCCATTATGGTTTGGTTTGCATTATCACATTCTCAGAGAAGCTAGTATGTATGATTCTGGCAATGTCTGAATTAAGACTAAAGTAATATATCAGCCAAAACTACAGTCAATCTGCAAAATTACAACACATAATATATAATTGCATTTCAAAAGCTCACCATGGCCTCTAGCCCGTCCTTATGCGCAGGTGGTGGACTGAAATCCTGCCTCTTCCAGCTGATGTGGGGTTTTTTTTAAATGTGAGAAATGCAGCTTGGAGGGTTGTTCACACATTTCACAATAACCACTGCAGTACACTGGAGAAATAGAGATCCACAAATTTGCAGCATGAACGGAATACCAGAATGGAATTGGCCAGGCTATGGATAGCCAATTAATTAGCCTACATAAAGCGAAGGTGTTGTAGCCTAAGTTAATTCATAAATCCTTCACGAGTCCAGCTGCGTTCTGTGAGAAAGCCTTCTTAAGCGTATTAGTGAGTGCACATAACCTAGAAAGGAGTTTAGAATGACACGTAAATCACATGTTGTAGCAAATAACTTACACATTAGCCTACCTTTACAAATTAAACAAGTAAATAACATTAGTTTTAATAGTTTTCTTTAGACACTTGAAGCGCACCACACCGGACCATGTTCTTTGCTATCGGTAAGGAGTCGTAGCGCCCTGTTGGTGACTGCATTAAAATATGCAACATTGTTTACGAGGTTGGCGTAAAGTTACAAAGTATCACAATATATTCGAACTAGATTACCTTTATCAAAGTGAGTTGTGGTTACAGACAATGTGCTCAATTCCAGCTCCACGAAAATTTGTCCCGATATTCTTTTTATTTTTCTTCTTCTTTGGTGGGGTTTATCGGCGGTTGGCATCCAACGTTATGGTGCAATCCCGCCACCTACTGTACTGGAGTGTGGGCCAGAGACAGGGAGAAACTAAATCCTACCTGCCAGCCCCGTTGCTCTTAAAAAATATAAAATATTAGAGACTATATCTAATGACGTTCTACTCAAGAAACTGTTTAAACTAATTTCCTGTATCCCCTTCTCCCTCATACTAGATCTCAGCCTCTCTCTTTCCATCTGATACTGCCCATACTGTAGCAATACATGCTCCACGGTCTCTGTTTCCTGGCAATAATCACACTTTCCTGTTGGATGCTCATTCAACCGGCTGTATCCCACCCTTAATCTTGTAAAAAATATCCTCCTCTCTTCAGTCCCTTCCTGCTGTCCTCCCCGACTTTCCTCTGTACTTGAAATAAATGCCTGCCCTTAGAATCTCTATTCCAATGCTCCTGCCATCTCTGCACCATCACTGTCCATATCAGGCTTTTACCTCTGCCTTGCTCATTGAAACTACAACATCCCCAATACTAAGTGCTTGTTTAGCCAGTACATCAACTGCCTCGTTCCCCTCCACCCCCACATGGGCTGGGACCCAAGTAAATCTGATCTGTATACCCATTTGTCTAATCCTGCCATGGGTTTGTAGTACATCATAAAGCAGGCCTTGTCTGCTATGTGAGTTAAAGGACTGGAGACTCATCAACACTGCACATGAATCAGAGCAAATAACTACTCTGTCTGGCTTGACTTCCTCCACCCACTGCAAAGCCAACAGTATGGCCATCAGCGCAGCCGTATACTGTATACAGCCAGATGATCTGTAATACATTTCCTGACCCACACCCCACATTCCTGCACTACAAATGCTGACCCAGTACGTCCTGTCCTTGGATCTTTTGAACCATCTGTGTAAATGGCCACAAATCCTGATACACAGTATCCAGACGTCTCTTAAACAAATCAGATGGATCAACACCCTCCCTATTTTTCTGTAGTCTCTTCAACACTTCTAGATCAACTACTGGAGGTGGGAGTAGCCATGGTGGATTTACAGGAGTAGCTACCGTTAGACTAAACTCCCTTCCATACAGTCCCATCTCCTTCGCCTGGGTATTACCCACCCACCCAAAGCTTGTGTTCTGTCTTCGCTCATGTTCCCAGCATGCCTGTAAAATCCCTTTTGAAGGATGAGACACCCCATGTCCTTGTAGGTTGACCCAATAATTCATTGCCAGCTGCTGTCTCCTAATCTTTAATGGCATATCCCACCTCTCCACCTGTAATGCAGCCACTGGGGATGTCCGAAACGCCCCACTACATATTCTGAGTCCTTGCCCCTGTATGACATCTAGCCTTTCCAGTGAGGTCCGGGCTGCTGAACTATATGCTATACCGCCATAGTCTATTACAGATCGGATCAATGCAACATACATGGTCTTCAATGAGGAACGCCCAGACCCCCACTCCTTCCCTGTCAGACAGCGCATCACATTTAGCACTGTTAGAAATTGCGTAATTCAAATCTGGTATTGGAATAAGAGAAAACATAATCAAGAGATACTCAATCCAAGCTAAATTTATTATATGCAAAATGTATGTATGATAAGTATGTTGGTTCGTATACGGGCTCACTGAAATACCACGCAGGGCAGACAGAGAACTAATCCATTGTTACAGGTTCTTCTTCAAATACTCTGACAGTTTTTAGTTCCCGCTCTCTGCTGGCCAATCAGAGTAGAGACTGAGCGTGGTTTAGACTTACTCAGCCTATCCGTTGGCGCACCGGCTGGTCCCAGCCTCTTGGCGCATCCCTGTTGCCAGGCATAAGTTTTTATCATAACAACCTGTAGAGTCATCACTTTTTGCAGTACCCATGTCCTTGGACGGTTCACAGATCACAAAGAAGCAGTGTAGTCTCTGTGAGAAATACAAGTCTTATCTATAAGAAATACAAGTTTTATCTCATCCTAGCCCCTAACGTTCCTCACATGAATCACAGCCTGTTATGTGAAACAATTCATATCAGTACAGTATAAACCTTTTATGCTTTAATCATTAATGCATTCTTTGTAAGTTAGTCATCCCATCCAGTTATGAGAAAATAGAACCCCACAGCACCTTCTTACACTTTCCCACCACTCTCTCAATGTGTTCTGCCCAGGTCAGTCTAGTGTCAAAGTATACCCCAAGGAACCTGAAGGCCCCTACCCTCTACAAGTTTCTCCCATATAACCATCTCCCACCTTCCTCCTGGTAAAGAACACTGTCTGAGTTCTCTACAGAGAACCTGAATCCCCACATTAATGCCCACCGCTCTACCTCATCAATTGCTTCCTGTATCTTCCTGACTATGTATGGCACATTTCTTCCCCTCTTCCATAAGGCCCCATCATCTGCAAATAACGACCACCCAATATCCTGCCGTACCTGAGAGTAAACATAATTGAGAACAACAGAGGACTAATCATGCTCCCCTGCAGTGTACAGTTATCGACCAGGTAGCTGCCTGATAAAGACTTCCCCATCCTCACCTGAATAGACCTTCCAAACAGGAAATTCTTTATCCAGTTGTACATTCTTCCTCCTACCCCCATAATATCAAGCTTGATTAACAACCCCTCCTTCCACATCATATCATATGCCTTCTCCACTTCAAAAAATAAATCTACAACAGTCTCATCTATAGACCTGAAATGTAGGCTATCTTAACGGATAGAAATTGCCTATATTTCTTGGAAATAAATGAACGGATAGCAGTTTATGTTTGATAATGACTTAAATTAGTGAAAATGCAGATAGTTTGCCTGCATCTGCTAAATCCACAAGGAGGCGACAATGTCTACCAAATAAAAAATACATATTATTTTGTCTGGTAGTCTACATCAGTTATTATGGTTATTATAAGGGTTCGGTTATTAGAGTCAGTGGCCTTATAATTAAACTACTTAACTGGGTCAGGGACAGGGCAACGTAACACCCCCTTCACATTTCAGTGCATTCAAATAGATCCTATGAACATATGAGATGTGCATGATCATGTTGCCAAATATTAATTATGGAAACAAAATGTGTAATTGTGGTGAAAGGGGAATATAACATTTTAAAATAACAATAATGTGTGGGTCTATAACAACTGAAACAATTTGGACAATTAAAACACTTGGTCCTTATACAATTTAAAAATAGGTGCATGTGTCACTATCCCCTGAATAGGCGGGCAGACAAATGGAAAACCTTGATGTCGGTTGATGTTAAAACCGAGTTGCTGACGTCAGCTCAACGGCTTCCCATGGCAAGGGATGCGGGGACTGCCGCCGCGCGCAGTTCCAACCAATCGCTCATGCCTTGCTACTGCTGCCCATACCCTGTTTCTGGGCAGAAGAGTTTTATCAAAGGAAAACAATCCGTGGTGAGATATGGTACCTCCCTCTCTCACGCGCTTGCTGTTGTGGGGGGCGCATAATTCGAGATTACCAATCATTATGCGGTGCATTCAGCAGATTCATTCAGCAGAGATCTTTTCCAGGGGTGTCATGCACCCCAAACATCTGAGGGGGCACAAAGTCCATGAGGGTGGCTGGTGGCTGGTCTGGAGGGGTGCTATGCCAAGTCCATAAATTGAAGCCTATTGCATTTTTCAAACACCTGAAACAGCTTTTTCCTGCAATCTAGAGCCATAATCATGACGCTTAATTCTATGTAAAAAAAATATGTGTATATATTTTTGCACATCTAAGCATACCTCTTGAGCTGTATGTATCCTCCTGACTGGTGGTACATTTTTTCAAGTAACAAAATATGCTTCTCCGCATATCTGCTAAAATCTGTGTAAAAGATTGAAAGGAGTCTTATTCAGTACATTTAGTTATTGCTTGCTTTTCTAAAGTCTACCTTGCCAGCAGGCATGCCAGCTAAGATATTTAGGCAAGCTAGCTACTCTAATTTGATAGCCTGAAATGGTTTCTTGGTAGCTAGTTATGAGGTTGGGAGATTGGGAACCTATCTGGGCTAGCTAAAGCCAACTACATAAAATTGATGCCTCTGGTCTTTTCTATGGCAGAAACTATGACTCAGGTGCAATATGTTAGAGAGTTGTTTGTCAAGAAAGTGTAGCCTACAAAGAAGCCAATAACAATATATCAACAATTTTACCCTCCATGCACTGATGCACTGAACACCAGGATGTGGGCCTATATTATATTTACATTGTAGTCATTTAGCACAGGGGTTCCCAAACTTTTTCACTCAGGCCCCCCTTCCAGCATTGGGGAACATCCTGAGCCCCCCCCTTAGCGCGCGCACGCGCCACATCTATTTCTATGGGCACAAGAATTGTTCATGACACAAACTGTTCACACCCCTGGTGTTGGAGGAGAGAAAATGTTGCAGGTTTAAAGCTTATTTCCTGCAATTATACACATTTGTCATGGGGTGCAGTAAACATTTTGCCATTTTAAAGCTCATTTTCTTGCAATTCTATACATTTTGCCATGTCTAATGTGTATTCATGTGATATTTGAGTGACTCAAACCTTACAACAAAATCTGTGGGCTAAAAAACCTAGCTAAAAAAAGTTAGCGGACATGGGCTAGTTGATCTGGACATTTCTGAAAAGTTATAAATAACTCTCTAAGGTATGCAATGACTGACATGACAAGAGGAAAACTGATGATGCACTACCCAATTTCGAAATTGCACCTTGTGCATTCTACTATTATAACTTTCAAGAGTACACTGAAAGACGGACTGAGTTCCTTAAAAAAAAAAAAGGACATTTGCGAACCACTGATTTAGCAGACGGTCTTATCCAGAGCTACAGTAATTATAGTTAGTG